ACCGGACCGTATATCGTGCTCAGTCAAGAGCAACACACTGGCTTTTCTCTCATCGTACTCTAGTAGCCCCCATAGCATGAACACGACACTGCTAGGAGGACCACAAGGACAACTCGTTAATGAATAATCATGAACTTGTCGACTCCTTCACTGAGTCGATGCACTGCCGTATGAACTCCGAGTGGAAGAAGTCGGACTCGGCCAGTTGCGATACCTGACGACCACTGAGACCTTCAAGTGACCAAGAGCATCAAAGCACCGACCGTGACGGCAGACAGCTTCGTCGGGAGAGACAAGCCAGCTTGCTCGATGAGGGTTTCCCATTGCTTGGCACTGAGCAATTGAATCTCCTCCAACACTGAACAATTCCGTCGCTGCCAGACCTGTGAGTCATGCCTCACAACCGAGCAAAAACGACAATGAGCTTACCTCAACGATGTCTTGGACCAAAGCCTTGTATAATTCTCCGTATCGTTCAGAATCGAAACCACTTTGCGGACTAGTTCGTCCGCCACTCATCAGACCACCTACGGTGATGAAATTGTAATATCGAGAAGACTCTGCTGCTGGTTGCTACTATTGCCAGCTTGGAGGGCAGCCTGGGCAGGCTTAACACGGACTGAACAAGCTTCCTTGAAAGCGGGTATGTCGCACGTGAAAACTCCTTCTCCCAACCATTTCGACAGAAGCTTATGCCATAGGGAAATCTACCAATATGAACTCACTAGTTGCGACATACAAGACACCTGCCTCGGTCCAGATTTTCTCGGATTCTTCAATTAGCTGCCCAAGCCCTGCCGTCTACGACGCGAAAGGATAACGGATCAATGCTACTATGGCAACTCACTTCATGAGGCCTCAGCTGATTGCTTGAGTTCACCAAGGACGTACCCCCAGCGTGCTCCTGTAGATAGCGGCGGACTTCTCACAGAAGGATGCGTTATGCTACTCACGTCGATGAACTTCTCGCTTTGCTGTGCCCACTCCATCCGTTGCTTCAGCTGAGCCCCAGACGACTTCATCTCAGCCAACTCTTCCAGAACCTATC